ATTCCATTTTGATAGCATTGATTACTCTGGAGACAGTTTAACTTTTGAAAGGTGTTTTCATAGCATTCACCGTTCTACGTCAGAGGCAAATGTAACGTATTATGTTCTATTAGTAACTCTCAGGTGGTTTGAATGCACTAACCACCATTTCAGCAATAAGTGAGCAATACTAGGTGATGCACTGTTAAGTCCTGACTGCAACATAAAGTAAAAGCCCATTTCTTTTATACTAAAAAAGTAGAGTTATATCCTGTAATGATATTTTGGACTAGCTGAATTCTAGGTGTACTTGTAGACAATGTGATGTTGAAGAGACAGAAATGCTGAGAATCTAAAATATATACATTTCTTTGTAGAAGCTCCAGATCATTTTTCTGTAAGTCATTCTTCATGAAAAGCTATATTATCCTAAATACAACGCAAGTTTTAAAAGGCTGTTATTGAAACATGGGCTGTCACTTGCAATGATATATATAGTAAGAATGTGGCAGGTCTTTTTTCTCTTTGATTTCTCTCACGTTTTCTGTTAAGCCCTTTTCTTTACAGAGCTAACGACTTTCACGTGTGCAGATTAACAGCATCACAGTAGTTACAATGCCACTTACTTTTAGGAAGCTAAGCAATCATCAGCACTCAAATAAAGATGAAACTAGCTCATATGAAGTTATTTGTGATTATCGTTTGGTTTTCTGACCCATAACTATGGTTGCAGGACAAGGACAGGTCCAACCTTCCATCCTTTTTCAGCTTTACCTTCCTGTCTCTGCAGGATGCTGCTGCTTTTGTCACGCAGGCAGCACACTGTGATGGACTCCTTGCTCTGCAACCCATCACTGTTAAAAAGCAAGTCTCCTGGGCCATGACAATAAGCACTGGCTGTATTGTATTATTTTTTTTTTTTACAATCAGCTGGATGGAGTGTTTTGTTTTTCATAGAATCATAGATTAGTTTCTGTTGGAAGGGACCTTTAAATGTCATCTAGTCCAACTCAGGGGGGGTTGCAGGGGCAATGAGCAGGGACATCCTCAATTAGATCAGGTTGCTCTGAGCCCCATCCAATCTGACCTTGAATGTTTCCAGGGATGGGGCATCTACCATGTCACTGGACAACCTGTTCTAGTGTTTCACCACCATTATTGTAAAGAATTCTTCCCTTATATCTAGTCTAAATCTACCTTCTTTTAGATTAAAACCATTACCCCTATCCTATTGCAACAGGCCCTACTAAAATGTATGTCCTCTTTGTTATGCTCTCATTACCTCTTTGTTATGCTCTCATTACCTCTCCCCATAAATGAGCACAGTATTTTTACAAACAGCTCTCAAGGCAATGCTTCACATAAAGCAGAATGTGCTCGGTCTACTGGGTTTATTACCTGTTATAGGACAAATATCCTGACTGACCTTTATCTAGATGATGTAGGAGGGATTTTCAGCTTTTTGTCCTCAGATTATTTCCCCAAAACTTGACTGAAGTATGGTCTCTGCCTATTGAAGTGAGATTCAAGAGCTCTTCCTCCTCCTCCGTGCTGCAGTTTTCCTCCAAGGGAAATGCAAGCACTCAGGCAGGGTGCCCAGCAGGCACACCAGTACGGGTGATGCCACACCAGTCCAGCACGTGCAGGGGGACCAGATACTGAGGACCATGAATGAACTTACTGGTAGGAACTGTCTGCATTTTACGGACTGGTGGCACCTGTATGTCTTGTGCAACGTCCTTTCCTTCTGCAAAAGGGAAATAAGAATACTGTGCCTCATGTATAGTGGTGTTTAAAGTGTGCAATCTTCTTGATTATTGTGATAGTCTACCAAGTGCTATATTTGATAATATGTTTTAGTATGCAAGAGTTTCACATAGAACATGATAGAAGTTGTTAAGCAACCTGAAACCATGACCTTACTGTTTTAAAATGAATGAAAACTAGACTTGTGGAGAAAAATAAGTTTACAATTCCAAGAAGAGCTATGAGATTTTGAAATCAAACTTGTGACTAAAACAAGAAAAATGATTGCTTCGAATTTTTACTCAAAGGAATACATTTTAGGTAAATTTGAATATGGCTTTCATAATTTTTGTACTAAATTAATACCTTTTAATTGCATGCCTTTTAAATATTTCAAAATGGAGAACAAACATTTCCAAACCAAAATTAAACACTATTCCAAAAGTGTATCAAAATGGAATGCTTTGATAGCATGGGAATTTTTTTCAATTCTGAAAAAAAATGTCAACAGAAGCAGGAAGAAAATACGTACCAGTGAATAAGAGCTTAGGCATTATAAAAGGCTTATGTAAAATGTAAATGGTTTCTCTGTTTACCATACTAAGGTTATTTGGTTTTTTGAACCTTTCAGTGTACAATTTTGCTATGACAAACTAAACAACTTAGTAACAGACCTGTTGTATTCCCCTCTACAGCACATGGTGGCAAAATATCAATGGTACACAGAGTGTGCACAATTGTTTTTCCAACTGTATTGAAATGACTAAATAGCAGCGTACATTCTTATTTCAAATATGAAGCTGCCACTTATTTTGTCATCAATAATTTTAGCAATGACTTTGATGTTATCTCAGACATCTTCCTTCAAACCACAAGGTTTGGAAGCACCTATGTTCAACAAGAAAGCATTGAACTTTTGAGCCTCTAAAGGTCTTCCCATTCTGAACCATGAGAAGCATTCTAGAATAAATATTTTTGTGCAGTGGTATCTAAAGAGGATCACACCTTGGGTTTTCTGTTGTGAATAGTGTTTGCTCATGACTACCATATATCATTTCGAGCACTGAATAATGGCTGTGTGTAAATTATCAGTGGATCATATAATTTTCAAGTGTCATCTATAAAAGGTCATCTATAATTTCTGCAAGTATTTTAAACTAGTCTATAATTTATATTTTCTCCCTCTTACAAATTAATTAAATAGTAATATTATCTATTTTATTACAGTTCCTACAGTAATCTGAGTTATGTGGTCATCCCAATCTCATAGAGAAACTGGATATATTCAACAACAGTATGCCTTATTTTGCAGTGGAATCATTTTGCAAAACAACGTATAAGCTTAACATACTTGAAACTAAGAAGTAAAATTGAAAAAAAAATTGATAAATTGACCTTCTAATTTCCTCTTGTGTTTCTGTCACTGGACAGATACACAACAGTCTGTTGAACTCACCAGAGGCCTGGTAATGCCTAGATCTCTAGGTTTCATAAAATAAGTATTCATATAACAAATAAATATAAATATGTATTTAACAGCTTTTTAAAAAGATATTGTTACCTGTGATTGGCCAAAAGAATGGAGTATCCTTCCCAACTGTATTGCTAGCATGCATCGCTATCTAAATGCTAGTATTTTAAAGAAATAGTTCTGATGTCCATGAGGGCAACATTATCAGGGACACCACGACTGACATTTGGGAGAGTATTTAAGAGTAATGGGTGAACGCAGTAAGACATCTATGTGAGAATATATATTGTAATTAGACTTTGTTATACCTTTTATTAGTGAGCATCCTGGATCATTTGTGAGATGTAGCATTTATCCCATGGCTAACATTAGGTTATCTGAAATCCGTCCCTGTCTGTCTTTACAAAAATTTAGTATTTTTTCAAAGCAAAGCCAACAACCTGATTATCACATTTAAAATAAGTTTATTTGTACAGAGAGTGGAAGAAAATACCATTTTATAATTTTACAACAGAATAAACGTTTAACTTCAAGAAAATGCGGCATCACAACATTTTTTGTAATTCCTTTTCATTTTCTTTTTACATTCATGAATTAAAAATAACTAGAAATTTTTCACAGTACAGATGTAAGTTCATCTGAAAGTAAGAAGAATTGTTGTTTTAATTTTATAGCTGATTCTGCAAAGTAAGGTCTGCTATGGCAGTTACTCATCAAAAATTAGTTATCACAGCTTTTATATTTCTTATTATATATTTTGATAACGTACATTTTGCATATTAACCTGAAAAGTTCCACATTATGGAAGCAGGTATTTTTTTTCTAAACCGATAAACCAGATTGATAAACTGAAATTATATACATGGATTTCTTTGTCCATAATGCCTTCCCCATAATTTTTACCCATGTAGATTCATGGGGCATTCCAAGTGTACTTTAGAAATCAGGGTAGGGAACAATAAGAAAATTATCAGATAATTATTTCCTGAAATCTTGTCATTTCCCTTACTGATGGTTGTGCTATGCGCAGTTCTTTGCTTTTGAACACCATATTTAGAACTAAAGTTTTGCTTTCACTTATTGGTTAAATAAAATGAAAAACAAATAGCAGAGAAAACACTGAGGAATAAGTATAAGACCTGTAAATTGAAAAGCATAGTAAATTTAACAGAGTTTTGGTATCTGCAGACTTTTAATTGTACTGTTAGATGCAATTCCATGGGTCTGTTTGATCTCAGAATTATTTTAGGATTTTGGAGATATGAGACATTTGGGAGTTTTGTTTCACAGAATATGAAATAAACTGCGATATCTCAGTTCATCATTTTGTTTGCTTTGTTGTTGTGTTGTTGTTGTTGTTTTGTCATTCCACTGTTCAAGTTTTCAGTAGAACTGAATGAAAAATACCCTTTTCTGCTGTGTTGATTTTTTTATCTCTGTGAAATAGGCTCCTATTTTACCTTTTTTTCTATTGGCAAGAAACTGAGCAAACCTCAGAAAGCTCTGTCTGAATTGGCATTTCAAGATCTCAGAGTTTAAGTACATTCTAAATTCTTGTGTTGACTTCCACACATAACACTGAATTAGATGTTTTTCATAGTTACTTTAAATTCTGTCCTGATATGTAATAATGAAAGAATTTAACAATATTTCATAATACCAATTACCTACCAGGCTTAAAGAAAGCCAGGTCTTTTATAAAAGCCTCATATATTCGATTTGTTTTGGATATTCCATATATGGTAATGATTAGTTTTATTCTTACAAAATATCTTAAATGAAACATTCACTGCCTTGATTTCAGGAGCTGATGCTGTGGAGGCCCAGTGCAAGAGATTTGAAGTGAGAGCAAGTGAAGGTGGAAAAGTGTTGTTTTCTGCAGATGAAGATGAGATTGTCATTGGAGCAGATAGACTGAAAGTAACAGGTATGGGAATAAGATTTCTAAATGGTTGTAAACTATTTTTTTAAATACTATTTGAATAATTACTATTAGAATAATTAATTTACCAGTCTTCTACAAAGTTTTCATCCACTGGAGAGGCAAAAGTCTTCTCATCATCAGTGACTGCTTCATCAACCAAAAGATATTGCATAATTTAGAAATCAATTCCTCTAAAAGCAGATTTGAATTTAAACTCTGCAAGATCAGCTATGGTACAAATCACCCTTACCACAGTGATTTGGCTTTTATACATTATCATCAGACATTGTTTTGTGGTATCTATGACACCTGTTTAGGAAATGCCCCTTCACAATGATAAAAACTATTGTTATATACTATGACTATACTATGGCCTTTGCTTTTTCTGTATACAAAGTATCAAGTCTAACTTCCATGTGAATTAGGGGTATGTACTCTGCTTTACTTTGGGAGGCTCAGCTGAAGTGTAGTAAGTGGAAACCTTGTCTTGAACATTTGTTCAATAAAATAAGAAAAATAATTCTTATTGGTATTTTACCATCAATGTTGAACACATATATATCAGTAACTCATTTGATATTAGAAATGTGTTAGGTTGTAAAAAAAAAAATTGGTTACCCAAGTGTGCTTTACGTAAATGCTTTAACTTTGACTGCTTAATAAAACCTTACCTGAATTTAGGCTGGACTTGAGCTATCCACTCATAATCTAGAATAAGATGCAAAACTTGCAGTCAGGGATGTTTAGCTTTAGGTCAGTCTATAAATGGGGATGCCTTCTTTACAGAGTTTGAAATCAGCCTAGTAGTTTGAAATTTCAATTGTGTAGAAAGTATAAGATGGTTTTCTCATTTATGATGATTATGATAATATATCCCTTTTTGGTCTGTAAAACCAAGAAATTTATTCCCGGCAACTTTAAACCTTTATTTTATTTTTTTTAAAAAAGGTAGTTCTACTTCCATGTAATGCCAGAGATAGTATTAATGTACAAGATATAGTATTAAAACACATCTAGGAATTCCAGAGTCGAGCTATGACTGAACTTTTTTCATAAGCCTCAAGATCATTGCTTGCCAGTATATGTGGGATAGCTTTTCTTCCTCTTTCATTCATATCTGACCTGTATCTATCGTCTCTAGCCAAGCAATCTGTTTTAATACTGATAAACCAAAAGAAAAGGGCTTTACAAGCAGGCAGTTTAGAGATATTGCAATATCCAATATAATACACGAAATTGTATCAGTTCACCATATTTGGGGGTAGAAGAGGGAGACATCAGTGTTTTTGTTGAGCAGCAATTCTTCATAGATAGTAATTGTACAAGACCTTTACCATAGTAAAGCTTAAGACAATAACTGAAATATCATGAGAAGAAAAAAGATAATCATACTGAATCCTGCTAAGGTTCAAACTTCATCAGAATATTATATACTGAGAAAGTTAATCTTAACAATACAATAGATACAGGAGATTTCAAAGCATCTATCATAACTTATAAAAAAACCCCATCTAACAAATGGCACTAAGATTAGATTTCCTGCCGTTAAGAAATGTAATCATAAGACATCATGGTAATTCTTTTTATCAGACTCCAGAAGCAAAGCACTGCTCAACTGCCTTTAACTTCAAAGTAGCTTGAGTTCCTGTAGCTCCTGTTGACATCATGCTATAGAAGGCAGTAGAAGTAATGAAAATTTATTCAGTGATGCTTAGCATGGTATATAAGATTGTTCCCTGTGAAAAGAACAGGATTGTCTGCTTAATTCTAGAAATACATCTGACTGTAGGTGTATTTATATTAAGATACCCCACCCAAATTAAAAAAAAAAAAAGAAAAAAAAAAGAAAAAAAAAAGAAAAAAAAGTAGAGGCTAGGAAAACTTAAGTTAATGCTGCTTTGACATATTCATCTGAATTCTAGGGATTACTGCATACCTGTTGAGTCCTACCAGAGAATCTCACTACTAGAGTAGTTTGCACAAGTTACTGGCTTTCCTTCTGTGGCTAAAATGAAAAATTTAGGATTGAATTTTGAAATAAATTCTTTCATTGAACTGGAAAAATTATTTTAAGTTTAAAACAATAAAAAAGCATTTACTTTAAATACTTGTATGTACACACACAAAAAATGATTAAGGCAGCATTTAAATATCACAAAGAAAATATGCACATTGAAGGATTTGTCAGGTTTCAAGTGTTGTCATTTAGGTCATGAAATAAAATGCAAATTATGTTACATTAAATAGCCTAATGTCTAACATTTTGGGCAGTTTCTTTAGAAAAGCATGTTAAGGTGTTTTGTAATTGTAATTTGAAAGAGTAATTTACTTTTTAAAATCACTTGAAAAATATTGTCTTTTGTGTTTATTCAAAAGTAATTTAATGAAGTTGGGATCATTCTTTCTAATCTCTGGATAGTCATCGTCTCTTGAAATGAGAATTCATTAGTAAACTATCGTATAACGAGGCTATAAAAGGCTAGTTTCAAAATTTTATGCCTTAAATCCCAAGGGCCCACTTTAAGTTAACCCTTCTGTCATCTTGTTAGAGAACAAAAATATTACCCCACAGAATTTAGATTTCCAAATGAATGAGCATTTCTGAAAGGCTTAGACAGAATAACCTCATATCCCAATTTCTGTATCTCTAAAAGGCTTTTTGCAGCATAAGTACTAATCTGCAGCCAAATAATAAAGCTATAATTAGGTATCTATGCTTTACTGTTGACTTCAGTCTAAAGCTGAAATTATTTAACATAGATTTCCCAATGAAGACTAGTTGTATGATCCATGCATTCTCAAACGTATTTAAAAAAAAAAATATCTCCCAAAGGGTAAAAAAAAATAAAATAATCTATCTTCATGGAAAAATAAAATAACAAAATCTTTCCTTCATAAAGTAGCTCTTTGAATTCTCTCCAAAGATTGTATGATACCTTTAAATTCTTCAGCAAACACATGAAAGGTGATGAGTCCCTGTGAGTTGCATCAGTCAAACTGCATTACTCTATATGACATGATATGACTGATGAAACCTGGCAAGGCATCATAATGTCAAGCATCAACCAGAAATTTTTTTTAGTGTATTTTTGGGAAGCCTGTGTTTTGATAATCGTAGTGCCTTGGGGTGAATACAGAAAAGGAGTTATGGAAGAACAGAGAAAACAAAAAATTAATATCAAAAATCAAAAATAAGCTGTGCTTATTTGGAGATGAAACTCTCACATGTAGTTACTTAAGTGCAGTGCTACAATGAAAACCTGATTTTATTTTCTTGCTTAGCTGTGAATAGTGTCTCTTTGGAAACACTTCACTGTGACTGGGTCCAAGAAATGATGCGGTTTGGTAATCAATTTTCTAAAGCAAGCCCATTTCATGGGCATTTATAAACCCCTATGCCAATGTGGGATTTATTTTACATTATTTTTTCTCAATTCAGAAGAAAGCTTTTGTAATGCACAGTTTTAAAAAGCTGTCTATTGTAAGACAGTATAAGAAATTATTGATTAATAAAAACTTGGAAGATTAAGTTTACAACTTCTCGTTGAGTATTTTTGTAGCATTTTATTTGTAATTTTTTTTATAGGCAGCTATTCCAGGGAGAAAGGTATAGTAGAAACAGGCTAGTAATCCAGCTGTCTATAGATTCCCCAGATAAGAAAAATATGGGGTCAGAAGTTTTGGTTTAGAGATCCTGCAGCTATATATTTCCCTATTAAGAGTTTCTCACTTAAAAATTAGGCAGTTGGCTGATTTAATTTAGACTTCTTATTCTTCCTTCCATCGTTACTTTTGCTTTTTCTTTTAACTGTGTTAGCTCTTTTCTACTTTATCGTTCAAGGAAAGAAGAAAAAAGATTCAACTTTTGCTTTGTTAGAGCTATTAGAATCGTAGCTGACTGTTGACCCTTTGCTGTATCACTTTTTCTAAATAACCTAGACTAGATTGTTTGGAAAATATTACTTTATGGAATATCACCTTTATGGAGAACTAATTTATTTTGTTTCCTATTACTTTCTTAACTGCTGGCTTATTTTCTCTCATCCCTTATTGCTGCATATCTGAGTGGTATAATCTGGTTTAGCATAGGACCTGAAGTCCTTTCTGGCTAAAACTGAATTTTGTTAAAATGATAATTAATACATTAACAGTAATATTTTTCCTCTAAAAATAAATAAGAAGCTAATTTAAAACTTGTCAGTTAATGTTTTACCAAGATTTTAGTAATATTTCTATAGAGTTCAACTGCTTACATAATTTATTGAAATACAAACCTTTTCATATATATGGAGCTCCATGTCTGTATTGCGTGAGCTGAAGACGACTTTGTTTCCGTATTTCAAACATGGTAATAGATTTTGTTGTGGGAATTGCAACTGTAATAAGACTTGCACATGGTTGCTAGCAGTAGGAGGAGAAACAAAAAGAGGCATAAAAACTCAGCAGAACATTATGATCTCCTATGAGCCTTCTTCCTTGTCAAATAGTAAAGTTATGTAGAAAGGCAGAAATTGGAAGACAGGAGATAGCATACTTCAGTTTCAATGGAAATTTTCTCAGATTAGTAGCAGGACAAGTGTAGGTCAAATCTACTTTGACACCAGAACAGTGTCGGGCAAAAATCTGTGAAGGGGATGCAAGTATCTTTTTCATCACACTAAAGTATATGTTTAGAGTGGGCTCAGTATGGCTTTGATCAAAGCCATTTACTTCACTAGATGAAAGATGAGAGCCTTGATGTATCAAGGAAATTTCAGAAGATGCCCACACGCTTATATTCCAATAATATTCTAATAATATCAAGAATTAACATGCAGAAGAGTGCATCAGTACCACAGTTTTGATTTTAAGATTATGCTGTAGGACTGTGAGTCTGCAGGTAATTGAAATATAGAAAGGTCTTCCAGAGTAGTTAAAAGGAAATGATAAAGTAGAAATATGGCTTATGGCTATAAAAAGGAAACATGACAGAAATATGAGGAAATATATGTGAATTGCAAATT